AGTTTTGTTAGAGAATAGCTATATTATCCAGTCCTACCGTTAATAAGCTGTACTCCGTACATACTTAGATAAAATCACATCTTGCTGTACTGACATAAAATTAATCAATTTCAGTTTCAGCACTGATTGTTTCAAATATCTGGAAACAGGGTCAGTGTAGCAAAAATTAACTCTACTGTGCTACACAAATAAGCTTTACAGGGATTTTCTGTTACAGTTATTTTGCTGGTTTTCGAGTCTTGCATTTATGTGTTAGTGTTTTAGCATCTCTGGTTCAGGTAGGCAGTATCTCAGTTGCAGGGCGGATTGTCATTGAAATTAGCAGTCTGGAAATGAACAGAAAAGTGGTTTTGGTGTTTTGGGTTTTTTTAACTTTTATGTTACAATGACTGTATTGGCCTTGCAAAAGCTAGCTTCAGGAAAAATAATTCTGTGTGCCTGCACGTGTACGTAAAACAGGAGATGGGATATAATTCTTGTGCTTTATTCTCTCAGTTCCATGGGGGGGAAATGATTTGATTTGGTTGTTGGACTAGAGCTAATATTTGTAATGATTTTGCACAACTAAGTTAAACTCTATTTGAAAGGTGTCTGCATAGGAATCTTTAGGCTCTTTTTTTAGGTGGTACAATCCAAAAGGGTCAAAGCACCCATTTGTATTTGTCCTTGCATAGTAGTCACTTCTGTTACTTAATACTGTACTGGAGGCGTTCCTGTGGCAGTAAGTACTAGGAATTAAAGACTTCAATAGAAATAATTTTGAGGACAGCTTATTGAGATGGGAGTAGAAGGGTTTTGAGCACAGATCTGCATCCGTGTTGGTCTGACTTGAGGCTGCCTTTCAATATTTCTGTTAAATATCACTCTTAGCAGAAGTCTCGTTCTTGGTGACTTCACAGTTGGAACGACTTCATCTGGCGTTGGAATGTTTGATCCATATTCCTACATTCCAGAACTTTCACACAAGTGCACTTCAGGTGTACGCCACCACGTATACCTGACCAGTCTTTTGTTGCCTTCTGTCATGGATGGCTTGCATTGGTATTTTTACCGCAAGTCTGACAGGAGTGTATCTTTTGGCTTTGAAAGCTATAGAAATGGAGATTGCTTTGATCTCATGAAAATCTGCTGGTTTAGAGTACTGGAATTCTACATGGCTCACTTTTGAGGAAGGGTCCCTTTTTTCTGCTCAACTTCATAGTCAATAGTATTTGCTTGAAAATTTGAATGCCTTAATTTTGAATGTCTTAACTTGTATTTCTTGGCGCATCTTTGCTTTTTTCTTTGTGCATCTTGTTTTCGTGGCAGTTACTACATTGTGTATTTTAATGTATGTTCTCTGCCTAATCATAATTTACTGAAATAATTGTCTTTGTGGACAACATATGTAACAGGGAATGCCTTTTGTTCTCCGAGCATACAGGCCTTTTTCCTCAGTTTTCACCTGATGTAATGAAACCTCTAGCTGCTGTATTTTAAACTGTTAAATTAGTGTGCAACTATGCAATAAAGAAACACAGAGAAACCTGTGTCTATATCTCATTGTGAAATTAAGCTCTCCAAGTTAAAGAGTAGATTTTTCTGTCAAGAAAATGATACAATTCCTCCTTAAGAATGAGCCAGTTCATTAGGAGTGGAGTCTAATCAGATGTCAGACATTCTGTGATACTTGAAAGCTATGAAAGACTCTGCTGAACTGTATTATAATTGGAATGAAGGAACAACGACCTCTCTGTTGCCGCTGTACTGATGGAAGGCTATCTAATTATTTGTTACATTCAGCTAGATGCAACATGCCGTCTAAAATGGGATTCCACGTTTTGAGGATCTTTGCTAAACTACTTCATTTGACACTGATAGTTAAACCCAACCTGTCAGCTAAGCTCCTTTTTCTGTTGTGTGATTGGTCTTGGTAAAACGGAGCGTTGATCTGATGTGTGGTGTAACTCTCAAGAGTGTCATATTTAGCGGTTGTGGCTACAAGAATCTTATCAAATAACCTGAAAAAAAACCGTTGAGTAAAATAAATTCCTTTCATCGATAAAAATTGGCTAATCAGGTGCAATAAGCATTAATTTCTCTGTCTCCCTGCTTAGTCGTGCTTAGAGTCTAGATTAGCTGAATTCAGTCAAACAAGTTTCCACTTCTTTTGATGGGAAAAGCAGGAGATTACATTCCTGATAAAGGAACCCCCAATAATTGTAGACAATACTTTTATATAAGGTTGCCCAAACTGTGCTCTTTGGTACCCACTGTGGTGGGCAAGCCATTTCAGTATGAAGAAAGAGCAGCGCGGGTTAAGAGCGAGGCCAGCTCCGCTATTATTACTATTTAAGGGTTCTAGAAGCTACTACCACCTCCACTTACCCAACACAAAAAGCTTAGAAGCTCTTGTATTAGTATAGCTGAGGTGTTTGCTAAAGAAATGGTTTGTTTGGTTCCAGCGGGCTGTCTTATTTTGATCAAGGCAGCTCTGCTGATAAATGGTTAAGCACATACACATTACTTGTAACAAATGGCCAATTTACTTCTGATATTGGTAATTATTGGTCTTTCTGACAAATAATTCTTTCTGTCTTTCTTTTTGATGTGACAAACTTGAAGTGCCTGAGTATTATCATATGGAGAACTGATTGTATAATCAAATAGTCTTCAAAGATGCTGCAGAATAACTTGGGGGCCTGAAGAGAGTTAATGTTCATGGTCAGAACTGATAATAAGACTTAGCGTTTGTGAAGCGCTTTGAAGATATAAAGCACTGTATGAAGACACCCTAACACCATGACTGCAAAGCAGGTATTTTCTCAGCAATACGAATGGAGAAACAGTTGCAGAATTAACTCTGATTGATTAATTTGCGAGCGAGTGAAGTATGTGGTTGGCTTTAAATATGGCAGTTCGGTGGCTGCTACTCCACTGCTGCTTGAGCCCAGGATTTCCGAATGGAAATGGTGTCAAAACTGAGACTGAAGTCTGCAAATTCTTAGCTGTCAGTCTGTTAAGAAATTCCCTTTTGGAAGAACTGGATGCAGAGAGAAAAAGAGAACTTGGTCCCATTCTTGTGAAAGGTAATGAAAATTTCTGCGAATTAGGTTAATATCGGGTGTAAAAGGCCAGTCATCAAGCAGTTAGTTTATTTGCCTTAAGGTAAGAACTTAGTCTAGAGCACTGGTGAAGTAAATCCATTGATGAACGATTTTGTTCACCCAACTACACAACTGAGTTTAAGCATTTATCTGAAAATATCTGAAGCATACATCTTATTTCAATTCCAGTCCTGTCTGCTGGATCCTGATGTCATGAGGCCGACACGGAGACAGTCCCGTATGTTGTAGGAACCTGGGTTTTTTTCTGATTTTATGGTCCTGTGAACATTTTGCCTAGGCTGAAGTATGAAATAGAATAAGAAGTAAATGTTGGTGACTCTTACTTTGAGAAATAATTGGTTTAGATTGCAGCCATATAGCCTCTGTTAAGCTAGTAGGCTAAAGAAAGGCTTCGGGGGTTTCAGGAAAACTGTGTCATGAATATGTTTTGCTGTTTACTTTTAATTAATTTTGATAGTCTTTGCAATCTCTTCAGGATCCCATTTCTCTTCGAAAACTAGAAAACCACAGTCGGTGCAAAGGTAATTTTTGTCTAAGCTTTCTTCCTAAATACACGTTTCTATAAATCGAGAAGCGGTGAACGCGGTTTTAAGTCTCTGGGCTGTTGTGGCCAAGAGCCACTAGGTGTCAGGTTCTGCTCAGTGCTTCCAGGGCTGCTCAGGACTCCCGGCATGGTTGAAGTGGTCATGATGCCCATGACCAGTGCGTGCTACCTGAAAACGTTACTAAAACATTACGTCTTTCCCCAGAACGCAGATCTCACGTTTCTCTGAGGTATCTTGCAGAAAACCTCCTGACCCACCCTACTGCCTGTACTGAAGCCTCTCTGAAACATGCGAGGAGGAGGATGGTCCAGGAAGGATGGACACCGACCTTGGGGCATGACTTCTTGCATGACACCAAGTGATCGCTTGCTGAGAAACAGCTCCTCAAAGGTACTACTTCCACCTCGCAATGGGAATTGAGAATCAGGGCTTCCAGGCTTTAGCCTCTGAATTCCTCTCCTATCCCACAAGGACAAGGAGTCTGAATTTGCTGAAGAATTGGCTCCTTAGGCGCTATTGTGAAGTGTCCAAGTAAGTCTTTTTGGATGCAAAACCTATGCCTTCATTGAGGTAGTGCAGCAGAAGTTGCTCGTTTTGCCTGCGTGCTTGCCAGAGTGGTGAATTTTAATTTTAATTTATTTTTTTTTTGCAAACAAGTCTTTTTGGCGATCTTGGCGTCCAAAATGACAGGCGGATTTCTGCAGTGCCTCTGCAGAAACGCAGGTGATGCAGGAGCTGGGCCTCGGCCTGTGCTTGCGTGAACGTGGAACAGAAGAGTACGGAAATCGGATGGGGCCGGGGGGAACCGGGAGACGCAGGTTCTGCTGAACTCTAGGTTTACACACCGCATACGAAGTGACCCGTTCTCCTTTACACGAACACGCAGTCCGCTCTAGGCAGGAGAATGACTGGTGACGAACCTCCCCTCCCGCCAGCTGCCGGCGAGGAGCCCCCCGTACCCGCGGCAGAGGCGGCGGGGCCGCGCTGGCCCC